TTTGTTCCATTATTGTTTTATTTTTGTTCAGTAATATCAGAAACTTCATACAAAATACTATATTTTAGAAATATATTAAACATAGATGTGTGTACAATCATATATCAGTTCGATATCGATTATCAAGTTAATAAAAAATGCAATTATTTTTACAGATGTTAAATATCTCTCCATTGCAAAGATTTTTTTTTTTCTTACATATAAAATTATTAATATGACTCTATTGATTTTTTAATGATAATTGCGGTTTTATTGAACAAGATCGTAACGTGGAAAGTGGAAAGTATCTTTTAAATGTTTTTTATCTTTTCCTTATTTCTTCCGTTACAATATTATTTCCTTATTTTGCGGTCGTGTTATTTCCTTATATCTTTTATTTGGTTATGATATCACTCTCAGTAAGTCCAATAAACCAATTGCATTTAGCTTAATCGTAAGTATATCAACCAAAATTGCTTATAAAATTTCAATTTTTGATATGTATTGTTCGTACAAAATTTAACGTTTTACTTTTTGTTTCTAATACTATTCTTCTGATCTTTTCTCATATATAAAAATATTCGCGCGATAGCAATAGCGATAGAGAAATCTCACGTGCAAAATGTAACGGAAGCCTTAGATCAGTGGTGAAGCTCGGATACAACACGAACGAGGGTTGCGTTGCCCGATCAAAGGCAAGACGGGAGTTGCTTCGTGCATTTGCGTGATGTGATTTACTTCAAGTTTCAAAGAAAATATAACTGTCATTGTTTGAATGGCCTTCGCGAAATTGGAGCACCATCGATCAAAATGCGAATTGCGACAAAAGCGTGCGCTGCGCAACAAAAGTTCCCTCGTTTTTTTTTTGTAAAGAAAATATATTTTATAAATATGAAGAATATATATAGTATATACGATTATATATAATATATATACAATACATATATATGTCTATAATTATTTTAAATTTTTGAAATAAGCATCTATATATATTTGTATCAAAAAATGTTCAAAAATTCTAATCTGATTAAGAAAATTCTTTGCTTTATCTCTTAAAACACATAAATTATTTTTTTTTATTTAAGTATTAATTTTATTTTCAATTCTTAATCATTAATGCGTTATTCTGATCTTATGCTTGTAGAATATATATGGACATAGCTGTTACTAATTCGCGGCAGAAGGCGATATAGAGCGAACCAGTATAGCTAACTTACATTACGAGTTACATAATCGTAAGCAAAATACGCCGTAACTTTCTAAGGCGCGAACCCACGAATTACTTTTGTCTTCTGAACATTTCTTCAATTAGAGGACTACGTGGGAACCCGGTAGAGAGCTCAAGTTTTTCATTCCTCTTCCCGTAAATCCGCGAAGATAATTGCCGTTGCTGCTGCTGCGTTGCTTTGCGCGCTACAGATATACGATATACTATATACTATAGAGAGTATGGGAATAATTTCTTTAGTATGTCGTAACCAAGTGAAAGACGACTAGCCAAGATATTAATCCGTATAAAATCTTAAACAATTCGGATTCGCATAATCGAAAAAGTTATTTGGAAAGAAAATAATCATAAAATCAGAGCAAAATGAAAAGAATAATTAAAAGCACTTTCTGTTTAATTAATTCTGTATAACTAAAGAGTTTGTATTAATATACATATATTACAATTGTTGTCACTTGTGTATGACCTTTAAATCAGATTCTTCAGAATACTTCGACTGATTCTTTATTTGCCTCTATCCTTCTATTGCTTTTTCTCATTTTCTCTTTGAACTCTACTTGAAGCGTTTCAGCGAAAGTCTGTTATATAAGCAGCTAATATATTATAATGATGATCCTTTAGAGAAGCAAAAAGAACTTTTGCATCACAAACATATATAAAAAAACTTCATTTTATAACTTTCATATCGATTCTCTTTAAAAACTAAAATATAATACTACACACATATATAGTTATATAAATTATATAAACTAAAATAGTTATATAATTTTTTTGTATAAATACTTTTCTATATATGTATTGCGTTTTATGATAAAGTTTAGAGGTTTATAACAATTCCTGCTCTTTATCAATACATATAATCGAGAATTTTTTTTTAATCTAAAGAATGCATTGACTCAAATTATATTTATATAGAAAAGACATAATATAATTAAATTTTTAGATTCTCCAACGAGTTCATTTTTGTTTATATTAAACAAACTATTTCAATTCGAGACGTAAAATATCAAAAATTCCTAATATTTAAAATTAAGTATGGCAGGCAAATGTTATTCCATATTACTCCATATTATGATACACCAATTCTGATTGGATAAGCATTTTGGTTCGTAAATTATTACGATGTTTGTCAACGTGGTGTCGTGTCGCAGAGCGTGACATCGCGCACATTTTGCAAGGATAATTCGTATAAATATGCAGAATACGAGTACCGTGCGTCTTATGAGTCACAGACGTAAGAAACATGCGTCGATAGAAACAAACGAAGTGATAAGAGGTATAATTATACTGCGCTGGTGACTTTACGACAATTATATACGTTACCTGTGTCTTACGTTTTTACTCCTCTTCTCCATCCGATGAAACGGTATCTTGCGTAATTAATGACACACACGTGCACTGTGGGAACGAAGTTCAGGATCACGCATTTCGCTGCCTTTCTAAATGTAATTAATTGGCTCGCATATAAAAACTGTTAATAATATTATAAACGACTTACGTTTTAATGACGGAGAGAAAACTCGTAGCTTTTTTACCATTTTTGAAAGATTTTCGCACGGCAAAGATACGATCGATCAATTATTATAAATGATTATTGCCCTAGTAATTAATAAGAGAGTAAAGAGCCCGTTATCGTTAAGATAAACGCGATATGTTGCGAGTTTACGAATCTCGTCACTTGGTGCCTCATTTTATATAATTACTATTTCAGTGTAAATTATATACGTATTATCGTGATTAACTCGTTTTGCGCTAATTTAAGTTTTATCAGGCTGTAAAATTAAAATTGTAGATTTTTCAGTATAGTGTTCTCTACGATTAAAAAATATATTAACGAGTTTTAAATTATTAAATGTTAATTTTAGTTATTAATATGTTTTATATATATATAAAATACTAGGCACACCTGTACAGAGTATATAATTATATTATGTAGACAGTAACCTTTTTAAAATATTTGTACGCGACAGAGATGATATTATCTCGGCTATGCGTGAAAAAGAACACAGTCAGTGTACCCGTTGAATTATTTCGATCACGAAGCTTACCGATTATGGTTACGAATCGCCGACGTTACTTGTGGGATGATCTGAAATGTAGGGCGGCAAAGGCGAAGTCGCGACCTCGACGAGGTAAAACAATTTTACCGTTGCTTGACATTCTTCAAGATAGTACATTTGTAATACAATTGGGTGGTTCCGGTAGAGCGACGGTAATACGTATGCTTTGACATATGCGGTTTTACGGGGATCCTCGTAAAGACTGTGAAAGTCTATTAGGTTTGACGGAGATATACATATATTTTACTTTATTTAAATTAATTTATAGATTATCCTATAAATTTTTTATATAAAGTTTTATATTTATCTAATAAATAATAAATATAATAACAAT